CATCAAAGCTGATCTCTATGCGCTACCATTAGTTGGACCCGACGTTGTGTTAGGAGTGCAGTGGCTCGAGGGATTAGGAAAGGTGACCACCGACTACCGTACGGGAGTCATGGAGTTCAACTCAGGAGAGCACCGGGTCACATTAAAGGCAAGCAAGGACAGTGCGACCAAAGAGGTTGGTCTCAAGAGTATAGAGCGGGTTTGGCTTGTGGGCGGCCAAATCTTCACCGTCGAGGAGGCAAGCGCACACGCGGGCACGGTCGAGTACAAGGATTCCCCTCTGTTCGACGAATACTTCGGAGAGGTCGAACAAGTCTCGATGGAATATGATGGCCCACCTATCTTCGACATGTACTCCGAGGATGAACTCATGGATGTCGAAGTAGTCGAGGAAACTAAGGTTGAAGGCGAGGTACAAGAGGTTTGGACGATCGAGCTGCAGCAATTCGAGATACGCGAGTTGGTTAGAGCAACCGACCACGTACTAAGCAAGTCCAACAAAGAAAAAGGCAAGATCGATGAAAAGTTAAGGAGCCTATTCTTCCGTTTGAACTCTCGAAATATTTTAAGAACTCAACGGCCATGAAGTACGAGTGCAAGTCAATGGACTATGAAGGACCACCTATTTTCGATGTATACCCCGATGTGCACTTTGTCGAGGTTGAAGGAATTTTGGTCGAAGTCAAGAAGAAGATATGGGACGTGATCGAAAAAGACTGCAGTAAAGAGACGCATGATGTGAACGAGGAGAGAACGCCCCAATTAATGGTCGATGACGAGTCCTTGAGGACAAGGACATTCTTAAAGGGGGCGGGAATGATACGGAAGTGGGTTTTGAGCCCCGAATATGAGAAGGACCGAAGGCCGATACTATCCGAGAAGGCCAAGCAAAGGGCCGGACCAAGGCTTGCATGGCTGAGGAAACGTGCACGAGCCAGTATACGAGGGTGCCGACGTGCGCAATGGCATGGGTGTTGGTTCTATTAGGAACGTCAAACAACATAAACAATATTGAACTTTATCGAAATAAATCCTAACGCAGCGAAATCTATAGTTAGGATATGGACGTTTACCTTTTAAAATTTTGCCGACTCTATGATGATGTAG